GCAGGATATCATAGTACGGAAATCACTTCAAAATCCAACTTGATTGAGTAACACACAGCGGTCACGTGTCGCTGCAAATAAACAGATTTCCATTCCAACGCCACATTCCAATTCCAATTCAAATTCAAATCGACACTGAGACACTAACTAAGCGAAAGAGAGGGGAATATTCGAAAAGAATGAGATGGGGCATGTGCGAGAAAGGTATAAATATATAGACTTGAACGAATCTAAGTAGCAGGGAAAGACCATACAAAATTGTAATGCCGTTAATTCAAATCAAGAACTTTTAGCTTACAAATTAAAGTTAAAATGGATTTTTGGTACCCAAACAAAAATAGAAAATGTAGACTAATTCTTTCCACCAAGGCATTAAATATTCCGTCTGTGATTTGCCCATTTTCCCTTTTTAACTAAAAAGAGTGACTTTTATTTTTCTTAACCAATTTATTTACATATTTTGGGGAACTCACGTTAGCCACAAAAATTCTGGACAGTCGACTGTTAACATTTTGTTGCTCTCTGTCATATCCTTCACCTAATTTGGCTGCTGGCTGTGCTTCATGAAAACTAGATTATGGTCAACTTAGTGCTGGCTACCTTTTATTTTTGCCAGCATTTTTGTTTGTGTGGTCAACATTTTCGGGCTGCTGTGCTCTCCTGTGGTCGCAAAAATGTGCAGCCACACAATTAAAACCGCAAAAAATATAAAGGCAGGACGCAAATGAAGGTCCCACTAGCTGGGTCTCTTTCCCGCCGCCTGTTTCCGTCTCTTTCTTTTTGTGCCGCCTTACCACCCTATTTCACCCCCCCCACATTTGTTTGGGTCTTTTGTCTTGTGTTTGTTGTCGTTATGGTCTAATTATCTCTATTTATTTATGCTACTGCCAAGCAACTTTTGTTTGCCATCTCAAATTCTCCCTGTCTCTTTTGCTCTTATCTTCTGTCTCTTTTCTCTCTTTGTTTGTTGCGTTTTGCTGTTAGTTCTACCCCTTTTCTCGTCTTTGTTTTGTTCTTTTGGTAGTTATATATCTTTTTTTTTGGTTTCTCTAGCTTATACTTTTGTTAAAATCACACACACATGCACTTTGGGAAAATATTAAAAAGCTTAAGTTGAACGGATTATTTAACTCTGTAATTTCGAAATTTTGTATATATATATACATTAGGTAAATAAATGTTTTTTTTGAAATATTCTAAATTTTTAAATGCGCTTGGGCAGTTTTTAAAAAAAGTTTTGACATGTCAAGTTTTTAAATGCCTTAGACTTAACTAAATTTAATAAAACTTAATTTTAAAAAAAAGGTTAAATTTAAGGGAATAAATTATTGATTTAAAAACTTAAGAAACCGTTATTTTGGTATATTTTTTCTGTGTGTAGAAAGAGAGGGGTGAAAGTGAGGTAGCCAACACACGCACATGCAGAAAGACAAAGATAGAAGGCTAAGCTTACCTTTGCTTTTAAGGCCCAGACATTTCGTTGGCCATTATGTTATTACAGCTGCCTGCCATTTCTCTTTCACCCCATCTCCTAAATAACCGAGAGGAAAACTAAAGCCAAGGCAACCAGAAGCCCCCCCTCTCCCCCTCATGAAATGTGTTGGCGTGTGTGTGTGCTGGAAATGGATTTGGACCGTAAAAATGCAGATAATGGGCCCAGCTCATGTGGGTGCAGTTTTTAAGCCATACCCAAAAAAAAAGACGAAGAAGCTGTATTTCTAATATTCCCCCGTAATACTTTCCCCTTCTCACATGCAATTAACAAAACAACCTGAATAGCAATGTCGTACGGGCCGTATGCGTAATCTACTGTTGGGTGCACAGAAACAAATGGTTTTCTTTGAACAAAAAAAATTACAATTAAAATGTATTTACTCCTCAAACACACTCAAATTTTTTTTTTCAATTTTAATAACGATAATTTTTGATTTGTATAGTTTTTATGAAAATTTAATATTTTTTTTTGTATCAAAAAATCACAAATCATTTTTTTAATAATGTGATAACTAAAATTTATCAACCGTAAACAGTTTGTTTATAGATTTTGGATTCTAAAGTTCGGTTTCAAATTTATCCTTAGCAAAATTTACCGTTTGTTCTTTCATTTCTCCCTTTTCTCAAAGTTCGTTGTATTCTTTGTGTTTTATTTTAATGAGTAGTTGAAGCTTTTGAAGAGCAGCAAATTTACAGTCAATTAAATACGGACCCCCAGAAACCCCCTATAAACTCATCCGCATTAAATTGAAGAAAGGTGCGAAAGAGACAGGACGAGAGAGTGAAAGAGAAGGAAAGGGAAGATTTCACGGAATATGCCTAATGAGCTGAGCCAAAATCTGAAGCCACAGGGAAACTCAGGAAAATAAGTGCCAAACGAAGGGGGGTTGAAAATTGAGAAAAAGGGGGATGTGAAGGAAATGCCTCTTGGCCCCTCCAGTCACGAATACATAATTACAATCGAAAATGCTTTTCATTAATTTCAAGTGCTCTTCAAGCTTACTATGAAAAAAAAGAAGTTAAATACAAAAAGAAAAAAAGCAAAAATAAAAATTTGTTGTTAAAATAATCTTGTGTAAAATTAATTTGAAATTCGTCTTCATTTTTCCCCATCTCGTTTTGGGTCAAAGTTGGTAATGAAGCATGCGGCCTTAAAGCTTAGTATATTATGGGGTGGGAAAGGTATGGTTTCGAATTTATAGGATAATTTAAGTTTTTGTATGCTCTAATACAAATATTATAAGATATATATAAAATTATTAATGATTGCCGCCTTTTTCTATTTTTTTCTAGCTTAACAGCTAACTTAAGAATTAGCATTACCATTTTTCTATAACAGTTATTATTATTTAGTTAATTTTTCACAAATTATGAATTACGACTTTAAACTACTTAAAGCATAATAGAAGTGAACAATAAGCCTTTAACTTTCGTATTCTCCACTAATAACAACAAGTTTTTAACAAGTTTAAAAAACTATTTCAAAACTAATTTAAGCTAATCGTCATATTTTCGCCATCCGGAAAAACAAAATTTTTCTGAATTTAGGTCCAAAATCGTGACTGAAACTTTAAGCACTTTGTTTTCAACTTTGAAGTCATCACAGGACCAATTATGTGGCGATAGGAGGAGTATAGAGGGGAATTATGAGCCAGTGGATTAATACCCCTGCTCAGATAGTTGGGCAAAATATATAGTATACCTAGTAGTATTGCGGCCCAAGATGGAAAAGTTTCTAATTGTTTTTTAAGTTTCTGCACCGCCCCCTCAAGTTTGCTGCTGCGGGCGAATTAGGCTACTGAAATATGCAACAAACCTGAAAAAAGCCAACAGCAAAGTTTCAACCTAACCAGTTAGTAAAATTTAGCAATAAACTTTTATTTAATCGATTTTAACACTTGACTGACAACGTTGACGAGACGATGATGATGATGAAAATACCTCTGTATATATATATATATATCTGTATCTGGATTTTCAAACAATTTGGTCTCTCGGAATTTCAATTTCAGGCATACAAACTTTTTGTCGCCAAGCATTTTCCTCAGTTTTCTTGTATTTTTCTTCTTCTTCTTTTCTTGAGCTTGTCCTGCTCAGAAACATAATGAATTTTTACAGTTAGTTGGCTCGTGATTCATTTTCCTAAAGGCCATCGTGTCCTGCGAACATCCGAACACATCAAAAGGAGCCGAGAGCAAGGAGAAAAGTTTCGCCTGGGCAATAGTTTATTCCACTTTGCTACCAATTAGAGCATTCAATTGTGCCACCAGCAGGTGCACAATCATCAAAATACCACCCAGCAATAACCAACCCAACAAAAAACCCGGTCAAATCCACCAAGGAGGGCGGGCAATTCATTTGCGATATTATATTGCAGTCGTCGGTCTCGATGGCAATCCCCTAATGGGGTTTATTGAGACATCATCAATCTAACTTTAGTCCACTTCCGTAGCGATTTCCCGCCCACAATTTCCCAGGTAGTTTGTGCCGTGTGCATGCGGCCAACAAAAGTTCCAATAAAATGGCCAATTCCAGCCAACACAATTGCCGAACACAATAGCAAATGCCAAGAAAAACAGAATCGGTTTTGATTTGGCTTCAATTTACGTTGCCTTCCATATTTTTCATTTGTTTGGGGTTTATTTTATTTTTATATTGGTCTTTTATCATTAAACCGATTCAAAGCGGGGCTTATTATCATTAGTTTATGACTTTAAAGTTTTGCTTAGGGTATATATTTAAAACGTTTAGAGAAGCATACAGATAAAAAATAAGAAAATTACAGCATAAACATAGCCAAAAATAGATTTAAAGTGTAATAAAAAAATGTTGATGCAAAAATTACAAGTTTTTCATAGGTATGTTTATCTACTAAAAATGGTAAAATTATTGATAAATTGGGTCACCTTTCTGCAATTAATCGGATATAGTTTAAAAATGGGTCTAAAAAGTACAACATGAACATAAGCCTTTAGACAGGGTGCCACTTCGAACAAACAATTCAATGGGTCAAGTTATGTATGCGAAGTTACTATTCCATATTCGAAAAATCAGTTTCCACTATTAACTGTTTTACGTTAGTGCTTAAGTGTTTTTAAAAAAATGTATAAATGCTTAACGTGCTAAAGAAATCTTAACGTCAAGGATAACCTCACTAGTGAAATTCACTTACTTTTGGCCCAAAACAATTTGCAGCAAATTCCCAACTCTCGAGGCCCAAAAAAGTATGCAACAGAATTTTGCACTTTACTCGTGTCAAAGTTGCGTACACTTTTCCCTTCTTTTTTTCATTTTTTGAATTGTAAGTGGGCAAAGGTCTTGTCTACAGAAAAAATAAAATAAAAAAACGTTTTAGATATATTTAAGTATAAGTATATGTGTAAAATAGGATAACTTTTTGCGACCCATCTAACGTTTTTTCCTTCTCTCTTTCTTTTCAGGTGAGTAAACGCAATTTTCCTTGGCCAGAAAAAGAACACATTGATGTGTAAAAGTGAAATCCCCTTTGATGTTCCATGCGGTTTCTTCACCCAGGGAAATCTTTGAATATGTAAGGGGGGCTTGGTTCTATTTTTGCGGGGAAGATATCATCGCTTTTTTCTCACTGTTGAGGTAAGTTCGTGCACCGGAAGTGCCACAAATTTGAGGAATATTAATGGCAAACTTAAGGATATGTTCGTGGGTAAACTTACAAAAGGGCAGCTACGCAAAAATTTGCTAATTGCTTCATTAAATGTTTGCCTAATTTCATTCGAATTAGCTGTGTGTCCTGTAGTGTTTTACGCACACACACACACACACACACAAGGCATCTTATTTGTGCTTAATGAGTGCCACTCGAAATAACCATTAAACCACCCAACCACCCATTCTGTTTTCTGCCATCATTAAGTAAATCTCCTTTTCTCGATTTCAGTTCAACTGTTGTAACTGTTGCAGTCCATCTCCTAAAAATGTACTGAAAATGTATGAAAAGTAAAGCTTTAAGGCGAGCTTTCCATTCTCTTCTCAATGCAAATTTGAACCCACCATAATTTAAGAGAGCGAATTAAGAGTGCGAAAAAGGCAGGGCGAGGGGTTTGTTTTGCTTTCGGTTTATTTGATTGTTTTAAATGATTCTAAAGTGCTGACTAGGGAATCAAACAAAAAAATTGGACTTACTTCAAAAGTAAGTAAATGAAGTAATTGGTGTCAGACTATTTAAATAATATTATTTACTTAAAAATAATACTTTTTCCCAGACAATAAAAAAATAAAAATATTAACTTACTATTGCTCATAAAAACATACGGCTTGCGAGTTGGTAAGGTGCGGCTTATACTTATTATGTATTTTGGTGCTTTTAGGGCATACTTGAAGGAATTTCCTTTAAGATATGCGTTTTCGGGGTTACGCATTGTCTTCACAGTTTATCACTCATGCCTCTGATTAAATAAATTATTTAATCTGGAAACATGTCGTATACGTAATTTTTAAAACAATTTGCTATCAACGTGTCGTATGACTAATTTTTGAAAAAATTTTGCGTCAACGTGTCGTATGAGTAATTTAAAAGAAAAACAACATGCAAAGTTTAAAATAAATATGTTTGATAGTTTAATAAATTTATTGCACACCAAATCCTACCATATTAAATGGTAAGACCATACTGACCATCCTAAAGTACAAATATAATGGGAATCAATTTTAAACCATTACATTTTTAAACGATTTTTTTTTGGGGGCATTTGCACAATTTGCTCTTAAGCCGGCAATAACATGATCGCAATGACACTTTCCTCAATTTTTCCACGATTTCCACCTGCTCAAAACATCAGAGCTTTTCCTTTTCCACCACACCAAAGAAGAGAGCAAAAGAGAAGAAAAGCCGAAAAAGAGATTTTCCGATGGGAATGCCGTTCGGCTTTGCTTTCGGCAATGGTATTAGTGCACACACACAACACACACATAGCGGATGCTGACTGTTTGCAAAAAGAAAATGGAACAGAAAGCACAACAACACAGAGTTGCCCGCCATCTCTCCGTATTTCTATGTGTGCGTTTGAGTGTTATTCGTATGCGTATTCGTCTCTGCTCGGCGAACACGAACGCTCGTCTGCAGCACTTATCTTCATGGGATAAATCTCATTGCTGGTCGCCGCAGTCTGTTTTCTATACGGGCGTAAAGCGGTCGTCGAGCACGGTTTAAAGAAATATTAAGATATACCCCATAAAATAAACAAAATAAAAACAAATTTTAAAGACTAAAAAAAAAAAAACAACGAATTAGCCAAAAAAAACGATAATGAAAAATATAGAGAAAATAAAAACATACATATAATAAGCGGCCAATACAAATTAGAAGCGGAAGGAGTTAAACAAATTAAGGTAGCCACAAAACTACCTATCAATAAATGTATAACTAGAAGAAATGAAAAAAAAATACATTAAATAAAAATCAACAAAAATTTTAATAATAATTATGAAAAACCTAGAAACAAAATAAGATTAAACACAGAACAGATCAAAACGCCGACGACTTTGTTGACGCGCGCCCAAAAAAGTGTGCTACAAAAAATTCAACCTAATAATTCATAATCAAATATTTCGAGTATTTTTTGTTGGTCTTGACTCAATTTTTTTTTAAATATTTTTTTTATTGTTCTTTGCTGTGTGCCAAGTGAAAAATCAAGATAAAAAAATACATTTATATATATGTATCAGAAAAATGTAAACAAATGCTAATAAAAGAAATTGTATGTGTGTTTGCGTGCATTTATTTGTTTGTTTGCTTGCTTGTGTGTGTGTGTGAGTGTTCGGTGAAGCATAAAAACAACAATAAAATATATTACACAAAAAAAGAAGACAAACAAAATGAGCCAAAGAAAAGTCCAGAAAATGGGATTGGGGAATATGAACAAGAAGCAGAGCGATAACAATTGCAATAAAAACGAGAACATAAACAGCAATAGCAACAACAACCAATGAGTGTGTGTGTGAGGGATTTTTCTGTGTGCCTCAACGGAAACATCATCAAAATCATTATCGTCATGTTCAGTTTCATTATCGATGAGCCAGCTTTATATCGGGTTTTTTGTATTGCGGCTTTATTTTTATTTGTAATTCCTTAATTTTGTTCAATAAAAAATTTCAATAAAACATTTTAATTCTGAGAAAACCTTTTTAACTATGTATAACAACCAAGTCTAGATAACATTTAATAAAAAAAATAGAGGCAAATAATCTTAATTTTATCAGTTTTTAGAAATCCAATTGATAATGGGTTCAATATGTATACATTTAATTGTAAAAAAAACATCTTTTGAGAGATTATTTTTTGAAGCCAAAAATCAAATATTTTTGTACCCAAACTAAACTCAAGGTTTCTAGTACGTTAAAATAGAGTTTGCCAAGCAAATATCAATCAAAATGGATTTGTTAGCCTCAGTCTTGATTATAATTTAACTAAGAGGATTTTAACGGCTCATTGTCGAATTAAACGCAACATGGGGACATAATTAAATCAGGGTTGTCCATTCAGTTGAGGCTTTTGGACTTCAAGCCCGGAATCATCACTATATCCAACACCATTTATGGTTGCAACCATTTTGATTTGGCTTCGAGCCTCTGAGCACCCAAGCGAATTCATCTCATTCAATATGCTCAAGACTGCAAAACCTTTTGTTCGACTAATTGTTTATTGATGGTTGTTGCTATTGCTGGTGTTGCTGTGGGCTTATTGCTATTGTGGATGCAGCAGTTGTTGTTGCTAATGCTGCTCTAATCAATGGAGTCCATTTTGAAAGAGGATTTATGGTGTTTAAGGAGGAGCAATGGACCTGCGGGGGACTTGGTTGAGGCAGTTGCAAATGACTAATCTAAGCTTTTGCACTAGCACATACACGTACACAAACACCCACGTATATATATCTAAATATATATATATATAGAGCATGCAATGCACGAGCACAGCTTCGAGGCAGAAGTTGTTGGCTTAAGCTTTTTGGCTTTAAATGTTCAATATTCAATTACACACATGTTTGACAATGGCGTGGCAAAAATAAATAATGCAAATAATTAATTTATAATGATGCGATTGGACCTCTAAAATGTTGAATTTCAGGGAACATTTAATTGGGTTCGAATTCAGGGTCCAAAAAATAGAACTCAGGGTACGACCATTGAAATAATAAAAGCTAAAAATGTGTATGGGAAACTTAATTTTATATATTTTTTATGTAGTAAAAACTTTAAACAAGTTTTGGATATATATTTCATTTTAAAACCTTTAATGAGATTTACATTTTCTTAGAAGTTAAGTCATTGATTCCAGGACTTTAGCTTAAATTAGCTCTAACTGACCCAACTCAAGTTCAAGTTTTCTTTATTTTCGGCTCTGGATTTTTTTTTGAACCAGATAACTTCTTTCTTTTCGAGGGGTAAAGTGTTTGAATTATGGCTGAAAAAAGTACTTTATAAAGAGCTGCCATCTCGGTTTAATTTCCACTCTCTCTTTCTCTCATTCAAGGATTTTTCCAGGGTTTTTCGTTTAAAGAAGAAATGACTTTTTAAATATATGGCATATAAAAATAAATGTTGTATTTAAAATAAAATATAACCCAAAATAAGTATATCGTAATTAAGTAGAATACTTATATTTAGTGACTAAATTCAAACGATGCATTTTCCTAATGCTGATTTTCTTTTTTAGCTTCTTTTTTGCGAGTGAGTGTGTGTGTTGATGTGAGGAGCAAGTGTAAATAAAGAAAAGTCGTGCCCGTTGTGCAAGCACTCAAAAGTGGCTGCACACACACACACACCTGAGTTTCACCTGCAATCGTGGCACGTTTCTTGGAGCTTGTAGCCACTTCTACTAAACCAACCCACAGCTTCGTTTTCGTTCTTTGCTTCTTACTTGATATACTCAGGGTCTTCTCCTTTTTTCGTTTTTTTTTGTTTTCTGAGGGGTTCTAGGCTAAGGTTTTCAACAAGCACTTGTCGTCATCGATGTTTGCACGTTTCGCTTTATTTATTTGGAAATCTTTTCTTATTCCGCTCTTTTCCCCTCTGCCTGCTTGTCCTTTTCTTCTTTCACTGACAAAGTGTATTTGTATTTGCTTAAAAATCAATTACGTCATCATTGTAAAATGGCAATTGGATATATATAACGATGGCAACTCTGGCAGTTGGCTTGCTCTTATATAACCATGACAACCCTGCCATCAGTCGGACTCTTTCTCTTTTGTTTGTTTGTGTGTTTGTTTGTCGCCAGTCTTCCACTCCACCACTTATGTCAATACTTATCGGGTAATATTAACGTCACTGTGACAGGGTCCACCCCCAAAAACGTCCCAACCCCTGCGCCAAAAAAAAAAACAAAATTTCACCTGGCATCTGTTTGTGTCACATGTCTTTTTCCTCCTCAAAATCTTCCTTATTGTTTGCGCCATATTTTATTTATGTTTAGTCAATTTTTGTGCAACTTTTGCTCGTCTCTTTGTGTTGCTGCCTTTTACCCTTCACCCTTGTGACCCCCCTTCACAGCCCCCCTTTTACGCCCCTGCAGACTCATAGTAAATGTTATAACGCAGCAGATTTGACAGCTCCTTTGGGCCATTTCATTTGTGGCAAACTTTTTCAATGGCCGTCAAATAATGCAGCCAACATCCCAGCCATCTGACATTGAAAGGTGCTTGTGTGTGTGTGTGAGTGTTAAATGTGTGTGGAGGGGGCGTGGCCATAGGGGAGTTCAAATTCATTCCATTATTGTTGTTTTGTGTCAGATCCCCAATGGGATTTCCTGGTGCTTATCATCGATAGGCGTGTGTGCTGACAATTGGAAAGGGAAATTGGTAATTGGATTGCTTCGACCTAGTATTTTCCCGATAAAAAGTCATCGATAACATGGCTTTGTTATTATCGACTTAACTAATATTTGTACAACAATTGCATACTGAAAAACCATCGATAAATATTTTTTCTTTTGAGAAATTATCGTCAAATACATTTTTTGTTGAGAATTATTTATTTATTAAAATTTTTCCTTGCGAGAAATCAATATTTTTATAGGTTTTTTAGGAAAAATATACACAACAAAAAATTAGATAGATTAAAACAAAAACAACAGTACATACTACGTAATTTTCTATTAAAATCAATAGCTAATAGGCAAATTTGGTTGTAAAAAAAAATGACGTCAAAAGAAGTTTTAAAGGCACAAGATTTCCTGCAAAATGGCTGTGAAAATGAGAATGCAAACGTGGAGTGCCAAGGTCCTATGTCCATTTGCCTCTCCCCAGGATTATGGCCTCCCATGAATCGGACGAAAACATATTCCGATCTCCATCATCCTTCGTCCTCCTTTCTCTCGACTTTTTCTTCTTCCCGGCCATTCAGCCATTCAATTCGAACAGATTTCGATGAACAAAAAATATATGGAAAACCAAGCTGAGAACTGTAATTCATTTAAGTGTTCCATTGAGTGCTGCACCCAGCTTGTGTGTGGTGTGTGTGTGCAGTATGTTGTGTACCCCCATGAAATTTCATATTTTTAATGACCATCTGAAGGGAAAAAGCAGAAGGAAGAGTTAATACAAGGGGAGGGGCGCAGACAGGCAGGCAGGCCTTTCACAAAAGGCATTCTTCGATGCGATGCGCAACTGAAAGCAAACATCATGGCCGAAGCGATGGGAAATAAAATAAAATCCATATATGCATACTTTGCATATTAAAAATAGCATGGAAAAGAATTTGAATGCGAAAGGATATAATATGTTGGTATACAAAAGCGTTGCTGAAATACAACAACATGCCAGTGAAATCCCCAAAGGACTTAAAGCTTACGCCGCCTTGTGATAGCTTTAATGTTTGGTTAATTATTTCGCAACTCCCGCCACGACGACGAGGAGCACATTCTGCAAATCTTCGACAGCCGCGGGCTTTTGCTTCCACTTTCAGATGAACTCGCTCGTCTGCTGCTGAAGATGTTCTTAATGGTTCAGTTGTTTGCTCAGCAAATTGAACGAAAACAAACTTCAAAAGTTTGCACCACGGATATGCAGATGGCACGAGAAGTGCTGGAATGGAAGTGGTTTCGGGTGGTCGTGGGTGGACTTTTAGTGGAGGGGGTTTTCCAAGACAACCATCATTAAAGTTCCACAAAGGCTGCCGCCACATATGATTTCTATAAATCATTGGGACTTAAAAAGTTTATTTTATTTATTATTATCACTTGAAGATGTACTTTATAGTTGTTTTTGATCAAGTTTTTTTCAAGTCAAATTCAATTAAACAGCTATTTGTAGCAGATTTTAATGAAGCAGATTAAAAAGAACTAGAAAAACTCGGCTATTTCAAGATTGTGTTACTATCCCATCATCAGAAAGTTTATAGCTTAAAAACTACTACTCACATGCCACTTTATATGAAACAATTACGTATGATGCTGCGAGGGTGTGGCAAGCAACAAGGGCAAGGTTGTTGCAGTTGACAAGCCGCAGTGGCAAGAGTTTGTTAACATGACCTGCTGAGGTCCGAGCCTCGGTTTATGTCCTCCTTCCGCTCCACAACAATGTAACCAACGACGCAACACTTATGTTGGTTTAGTTTTGCTACCAGTCTTTTTCCGACCTGACCCCCATTTTCCTTCCATTTTTCTACGAAAATTCGTTCGCCAAACAAATGTCTCGAATAGTAAACAATTGCAACTAAATTTACCAGTTACCGTTTGATTGCTGAATACTATTACATTTTTATTAGCATTTAAATTTAAATTTGAGAATTTCGAATCAGGCCACAATGCGATTATTATTAATAGCTCTTGTTCGTTAACGCTTTGCTGGTTAATATGATTGAGTTAATTGACACTTGATGCGACGCGTTCGCATTCCCCAATAAAACCTCAATTCGCTAGAGATATGGGAGATACATGTGCATTTATGATGATGACCGCAGAGTGCGTGGCCATAATGATCTCATGTTTCCGTTGGTTTTTGCGGTCAGCTTGTGAATGTGAATTTCACAAGTTGTTAACTCGTCCACTGGAACTAGTGCTCTGTTTCCCTGTCGCTTTGCATCTGGTCAATTTATGTGTGCTGCTCATTGAGTTTGTTGTAATTGTTTTAAAATTGTCACAATTGCTCGTACTTTTCTGATGGCTGGTTGCGGGGGTTGCGTTTCGAGGGCGTGGCAAACAACAAGGGCAAGGTTGCTGCAGTTGACAAGCCGCAGTGGCAAGCGTTTTAAAAATGGATGCCCCAGGCACAAGGACAAAATGGGGGGGGCGGGGAGGAGGAGAAAAGGGGGTTGATGGTTGGGTCAGAAGTCCCAAAACGAGGTTAGTTAACATGACCTGCTGAGGTCCGAGCCTCGGTCCATGTCCTGCATCCCGTTTCCACAACAATAAAACGAACGACGCAACACTTATGTTGGTTTACTTTTGCTACCAGTCCTTTTCCGACCGCCTTTTCCTACCACTTTCCCACCAGAAACCCCGCCCCTTTGGCCACACACAATGAAGTGCCTCGAACAGTAAACAAGAGCAGCCAAGAAAACTGCTGCAGCTGAATTCCAGCAGCGTGACAATTGCCGTTGAGATATAACCTTCAATGCAGAGAGTCCACAGGCAGGGTCGAAAGTCTTAAATGCTGGAAAATGTCTATGATGTACAAAATACTTAACTTGAACTCGTTTCAATATCAACTAACTAAAAATGTAGAAAGAGATTGGTCAATGAGTTAAGAAAGATACTAAAAATTGAAGTCACAAAAAACTTTACCAATGATTTCAACAAAGTATTTTACAGAGTATTGAATTCATTGGTAAAGTTATTTGAAACTACATTATTGATTATTTTGTATTAAATGGCCAATCCTTGTGTTGCATTTTTGCGAATTGATTAGTTAAATTATTGTTCTAAAAATTGTGAATGTTATTGGTAAATTAACTGGTAAATCAATTAAATAATGATGAATTTGGTGACAGCCAAATTAAATTTATTGATTCATAGTACAGATTTTTGTAAACAGTTTACAATTGATTTTCAGGGACAAATCTGCCTCGATATAAATTAATGACAAAACGTATGTATTTCCCCGAGAGAATTTGCAGTGCGACTTGGTCGAATTGTGGGCTATTCCGCATTTTCATTTTGTTTGTTGTCTTCGCATGTGTTGACCATGACATGAACTCGTGTGTGACGAAAACAAATGACTGACGCAAATGTAATGACATCCCTTTACAACCCAACTGCCAGACTCTTTCTGTTTCTAATTAAAGACCATGTAAAATGAAAAAAAGTGTGGGGAAAAATGCACAAACTGTGGAATTTAATTTTATTAAAAAAAATAGAAAAATGGTGAAATGAAATTAAGGAACTTTCCATCTCTCTTCCCTATCTCTTCTGTGCACTTTGGCTGACTCGTTTCTTTACTTCTGGTGACCATAATCACAGCTGCATTGTGTATAGCAATTAAAGCAACAACAAAAAAAAGGGAAAAACTGAGGAAAACTGTTGGAAAAATCACGGGGAAAAAGAGGAGAAGGGAAAGTTCTTGTTGTTTGCTTTTTAATGGTTTTCAATGATTAAATTGTTGATAACAATTTTAAGCTGCACTCGTTCAGGCAGCACTCCTTCTCGTGCTGTCTCTTTCCCTTACTCTGTGGCCATCTCTTTCGCTCTTATATACATATATATATTTATATATGTGTCTCTCGTTAGCATCTTGTTGTTTTTATTGTTCTGAACTAACTTTATACAGACTATGGGCCATGTAAAGTTGAACGTGGGCATAACAATGTGCCCTTCACTTGGCCCACAGACTGCAGTTTTCTCTGTCTCTTTCTCACCCCTTCTAGCTGTCTCTTTCTTTCCCTCTGTCTTTATCTTGCTGTCCCTGTCAATTTCAATGTGCAATTACTTGGAATTTGTTTGAAGTTTTCCAGGCAGCAACAGCAGCAGCCGGAAAAGTTTTCTCTTTTTTAACCTCCTCTCCCTTCCACAACACACATTAAAAATTTAATTAGAGAGTGCCTCGACATCAGAAATCAAAACAAATCGGGCGAAAAAGTTCTTTTGTTTTTTTTTTTAGCAAATTGAGTTGAGGTTTTTTTGGTTTGAGTTGCATAATCTCAGCCTGTCATCCCTAATTTATTGCGGGGGTATTCATTAGCCGTGATTTTCTGTTAAATTTTGAGCTTTTAATTTGTCAACTTACGTACAAAAACTTTGCCTCATCCATTGTGAAATTAAATTAAGGAAAAATAATTGGGGTCATTTATAGTTTATTTCTATATGAGCTTAATTATTTATTGAGAACTTTTATTAAGTAAGAAATTATTCTGTTTTAATAATATTCTAAAAAAAGGTGGTTAAATAATTGGCGTTTTCTAGTGTATTTTTTTTTTCTGTGCGATGCCTTAAATAAACTCCTTTTTTTTGTATTTCCTGTTTTGGCCGCCTCAATTCGTTTCGCGGCTTATGCATTCTCCGGGGTTTTGTTCTCCGCTTTGGGGTCTTTTTGGGGCCCGAGGCCCGCTTTGTCATGCTGAGGGTTAAGCCGAAGTGGTTAGAAAGAGGATTTGAGAAAGGGGTTGGGCATAAATAACGACACGTTGTGCATTTTGATGGGCACCAGGGGGTTTTGGCTTGGGGATTGGCCACGGTATATTACTGGGGGTTAACAAGAAAAAAAAATGGGAGATCTCGACCCTGACTCCGGTTTTACCCTTTTCCGCATCATTGACCCACTGTAGGGTTAAAAAAAATAAAAGGGGGAGCTGTGTAGAACCACACGAAAATGCTTTTATGATTATTATTCGCATTTTTTTTCGTTGATTTTTATGATTATTATGACTTTGATGTCAGTTAAATGATTGTAAATATTCATCGAAGTCATGTTAAATCTGTTCAATTGAAACTTAAACATCGAAAAAGGGCCACTATTTGCCCTCCATTTGTGTTAGCCAATGAAGTTGTTTACATTGGAGTTTAAGTCCATTCAATTTTCATCGCAGTCAGTTTATCAAATATGGGAAATATTTCGAAATATTTCAATTGCATAGCACTCGAATAGGGTCGAAGCAATCCAAACGACCTGCAATCCAACAATATTCGCAATAATAATGACAGCAGGGAGTCCGTAAACCGATGGCAACTAGCAAACAAAAGAAAAAAAGCGAATATGTTTTGTGATTCGTCCATAAAAAGTGCAACAGAATCTCAAATGCAAACAGTCGATTTACAGAGAAAGAGAAAGAGTGTGAGTGTGGTATAAAATCCAAACAATATCCATACACATATAGTGCAAAATGTTCAATGCATAAACAAGCTTATTTCATCTTACTCCGAACTCCAAATACACCATGAATAGGGAATGAGCTCAAGTCGCTCTGCACTGAATGTTCTGTGAAATAATTCACATTTATGCACACTCAGTCGCCAGACAGTTTGTATAGGCTCTTAGGGTAACTTATCGATTAAATTGAGAGCCGAGTTCCATTGGTAATCCTTAATAATTCAACGAATATTTTGGCATTTTTTAAGGTTTTAAGGGTTTCAGTCTAGACATTGTTTATAAGTTATTGCTACAACATTTTAGGATTTTAAAGGTTCAATTTTGTTATAAATTTTATAAAGTCCTGCATAATCCTCCATTTTATAGAAAACTAAATTCCACTGAAATTCATCAATATTTTAAAGGATATTTTAGGACAACCTTTCCAAACTGTAGTTACTTATTTCGAATTTAACTATTCGCTCCTTTGAGGATCCTTCTGACACTTTGTGTCGTCCCTTATCAAGTGTTTAAAAAGTTGCCAGCTTTTTCGGGGGCTTTACGAGCTGTTCTATGGAGTCGCCACTCCCAGGGGTCTCCAGTTTTATGTTTCTTTTATGAATTCGAAATTTTACCACACTCACACCGATGCCAAAAGCCATTGCAAACTTTTCACACACACACACACACGCAATCAGCACAATAAACATAAAAACAAAGCTAGAACTTTATTCCACTATCTGCTTTGCTGCTGGCCAGAACTGCTGTAAATAATTATATATAGTATATACTCCATATAAATTTTGTATATATCTATATATATATATATATTTATATATATATCGTAAGTGTACTGGTATGTGTATGTGTCAATGTATGTGCGTTTGCCTGCCTGTTCCTTAACCGTTTCCGTTGCCACCAACAACTACAACCAAAGCACACCAAAAAATCTTTAACAAAAAATATATATATATAAATGAATAACGTATTTAATTTATGCAAATGAAAAGTGCGCAGGGGCCAAAGAAAGCCGACAAAACAAACGAGAAACAAATTCGAAATTAATTTGCATTGAATAACAAAGGAAACGCTTCAGTTTCAATTTCAATTCCAGCCAAGGATAAAACTCAACCCCTAGACAAAAAAAAATCAAAAGAAAAAAAGCTCAGAAGGAGTAAAAACTCATACAAAAGAGAAGCCAAATGAGGGAAAATGAAGTGCCAAAGTGTTGAAAATAAAGCGAAAGCCAAGAGACGAAATTGAAATTGAAATCGAGTAGAAGAGAAAAAGGTTTTACGTTCAGTTTTCGGTAAACGCGCGAGTTAACTTCCGTTTCGTTCCGTTGCGTTTCGTTTCGTTCCGTTTCGTCTCGTTTCGATTGAATCACGCTGCCGTTTCCGTTTCCGTTTCGCTCGGCAAACATTTAAATGGCTACCAGCTGCTTATGATGGAGACATTCCTCGTCCTGGGCCTGTGTTTCATCCTGTACGAGGCATTGGATTTCTTTCAGGGCTGCATCCACAGTAATACCCCATCGCCCAGTGACCAAATCGAAGCCTATCGCCGCGAACTCGACGAACAGCGACAGCAGCAGCAGCAGGAACAATTCCTAGCGGGATTGACGCCATTGCTGGGCGCTCAGTTTGCCGCTGCCGCCGCCGCGGCCGCCGCTGCCGCCGGTTCGCAGTCGACGTTGGGCAGCACGACCACGCCCACCGCCTCCACGGCCAGTGTGATCAGCGATTCGTACGACCAGGAATCGCAATCCCAGTCGCAATCACAATCGCAATCTCAGTCTCAAAATCAACAGCACTTGCATTCGCTGAGCACTCCCGGTCTCTTTCGTCCCGCCGCCTTGGGTTACTACGATCCGGAGGATCCACTGCATGCCACAAATTCCCTGCCGCGGGACTACTACTATCTGCAGCAGCAGCAGCTAAAGAATAAGGTCAGCTCAAGGTCACTGCTCTCCAAATTCTCGTCGACAAACTCCGATAATCGCATACATCCAGAGGCGGGTGCCGTTTCAGGACACAGTGTTTTGGGAGCATCGGCTGTTATAACCAGTCAACCCCTTCCAGCCGGTGAGATACCACCCAGTCTCTTTGATCAGCCCGGAAAACCGGCGGTAGTGGCACCGCTGCAATTGAAACCCTCATCGCCACTTTTCGTAGAGCTAAAAAGGGCCATCATCAGTCAGAATCAAGGTCATTCGAGGACACAAAAACAACAACTACTGCAACAAGCACAACAGGAATCACCCGAAGAATCACAGTGCCCACAGTGCGAAGAGGAACAGATACAATATCTGGCCGAGAATATAGACGATCTTGTTGAATCCGAAGAGCAGCAGTATTCGCCTGGCGAGGAAGAAGACAACGAGGACGACGACGACGGCGAAGAGGACGAGGATCGGGAGGAACAGCATTCGTACGTGGGTGGAGCCACCAGTGAACCGGACATTTGCGCCGCCACACGACAGCAACAGCTGACCAGGATCCATCACATCGCCATTGACGACATTGCCAACGGACAGGATCTTCTTTCCGTTTCGGGCCACACGTTGGGCGCCAATTCTCACGCCGACTTCAGGGAAATCGAGTGCGAGCGACTGCGACGCAAGTGCGTTAGCGTTAAGCGCATCTATAGCATATCGGAGAAGTTCTAATTCAGATCAAACAGCCACCACCACTCAATCTCAATTCGATATCTCAGTTCTCATACCTGTACAGCCCTCACCATATTGCACTTCAATCGAAATATATATATCGAAAGCAAAAAAAAACGAATCAAAATCGAAAATCGCCAAATCAAAAAAAGTCACCAATCAAAAACAAAAACCAAATCAAATCGAAGCCAAAAAAAAAAGAAAAGCAAAATCAGTTTTCAAATTCAGCTCACCAACAATCGAACCAAATGCAACCAAAATCACAAAATTGCCCAAAGCGAAACACCCCACACAAGGTTAGCAAAAAGTCAAAAGTACCACAAAAAAAAAAAAAAAAAACCATAAGCCAACAAACTGAAAAAGAAAATAGAAAGTCAAACAAAACGAAATGGAACCTTAACCAAGAAGCAAAAACCGACACAAAAAAATCAATGAGACTTTTCGAATATACAATATTGACCAAAAAAGATTTTGCACAGCATTTCGAACATGATTACATTTTCGCTTTTGTTTTCTCACCTGCCTGTCTCACTGCTCACCGGTTTTTCTCCCCACCTTTCACTTCAGGTTCACATTGGATAAGTTTGGTCCCTCAGCTTGCACTTAGATCACCATAGCTCACCACAGAAAGGTTATATTATTTTACCTTGATTAATCTCAAAATATTTGGTTACGACAAATATCACGATAAAGACGGTTATGTTTCTCACCGTACTTAACCGAAGATAAGGTATTTCCAGAGAACTGTTCACCCTATGTATTTTTCACATTTCTGCACTTATTTTTTCAACCAAAGTGCATTTTTCACTCGCTTCACTGGACAAGACAAGAACTTGCACCAAAACACCCACCCACCTTTTATACGTAAATCACCCAAATCTTTTCTTCATAGTGCACCACATTCCACCCACCAATTCACCCCCTTTTCTCTCTCTCTCTCTCTCTTTATCTCTCCCACACATTAGCCACCAATTTGTCACCTGCTCTCTACCCAATGTTTTTTCTCTCTCTGTATTGTTAAGCCCGGTTCTAATAATTCCCAACTTTTTGCAGCTGCGAAACCACTCAACACAATCGCACACGTGTGGTGTCCGAAGAGTACTAGTAAGGTTACATCCAAAACTACCATAACATACAGATTCTTGCATATTTTATTTCGAGAAAAGGATGTTGAATTATTTTATTTTTTTGGGTTCAGATTTATGCGTGTTGTTCGGAGCACAGTTTTAAATCCTGCCTTCCATGTGGTTGGTACTCTCGAAACTTTTTACTTTTGTTTAGATTGTTGGGTTAACTTTCCTTTTTTTTGCTACCCTGCTTTCGTTTTTCTAGTTTCTATTTCAGTTTTTTTGTTTCTCTCTGGTATTCCTTGCTTGCCTTTTTTTTTGTATTTTTTCTCCTACGAGAATTCCTTGGGTCTAAAGCCACTTGGTGGACTGAACAACAAATATGCTAACTAGTTGGCTTTGGCCAGGTCTCTGTCCCAGTCTCTCTATTCCTGGCCCAGCTTTTAAACCTCTGCTTTCGAGTGTTATGCAAAGTAAATTGTACATAATTGTCAGGACTAGCAAAACACACATACACTTACAACCTCTCTCACATATATGCAAATGACAGGAGCTGAAGCCGAGGACAATGACTAATTTTGCTGTCATTGTTGGAGGAAAAATGAAAACAGGAAAAAAGGGAAGGAAGGCAGAAAGGGAGAAAGAGAGGAGGAAAAGCTGTAGAGCATTACTATCATATCTTACAAATTGTCGCAGCAGACCCCCTCTCTTTTATATATATGTATATATGTGTATATCCTTTCAATTATTCGATATGCTCGGGCCTTTGCGAGTATGTGTGGTAGAATTTTCTTGTTGTATTCTTTTATTCTTTGGACCTCGTTTTCATCTTCAGTGACCATGTGTGTTTGTGTATCCTTGGCCCGCATCAAGTTAACTTTCCCCACATGTCCTCCGCCCTCTTCTCCTTATTCCACTGGCCTTCTCCTTTTCAACCATTTGTCTCTCCCTTTTGTGCTCGGCGTTCAACGTTCAACGTTCGTAATCTTTTGGTCTTTTCTTCATCATCGTTTAGCTTGATGTGGTTTTTCCCGACTTAATCAGTTTTACTATTGTTTGTTTTTACCAAGCGCATAGCTACCCTCTTTTCCAAATGCCAGCGTTTGTGTATATATATATATGCCTCATATAGCAAACATACAGATGCGAGCACAATAATAGCACTAAAGATTGTTTTTAAGAACAATACCTCCCCACATCAAAGAGAGCGACATATGACTCAATATCTGTGTTTCACCAAACGTGCTATTCCTTTAGGTCTAAAAGATCTATTTTAAATACATTTTTTATTTTTTGAATTTATTGAGATCTGCAGCAACTAAAAATATTAAATACTTCTATTTAGAGATATACATTTTTGTTCAAAATGTATAATGCTTTTGAATATCTAGTGATTTATAACTTCATCAATAGCTTAAAGTATTCAAAACCATGATTTTTTCTTTTTTGGAATATAACAAGTTTTTTGGTGCCAAAAATACACATGTTTGCTATGACTTTACCCGCTATTGTATATGTTTTCAATGGATTCATCTTTGTTGTGTTTTCGTCCAGGGCAGAAAAGTATGCTATGATTTTTGTTTTGTGTTCGACAGCCAGGAACTGGCAATTATGTTGTGCAAAAAGAAATGTGTGTGCGCGTGTGTGTGTGTGTGTGTGGGATTTGCCATAAACGCTACATCATTGCAAGTATTTAAGCCATTGAAAAGTATCTTTCTCCGCTTAACTCCCAAATCCAGATACCCATTCATCTCGGCCTTAACCCGCTTACGGCCCATGCTCCGATTTTCGGCGCTGGTTCATTCAAGGGCAATATTCTTCTGCATCATTAACCCGCCGACCGTCATGAGAAATGACCGGCAGCCATGCAGTCACGGTCAGCTTAACCCATTCGTGCCTGCCATCTCTCACAAAAATTCAGAAAATCGAATCAATAGCCGAGTCAAGTGAAATTAATTTCGCTTTAAGGAAATTTAAGTGAAACAAATGCTCAATACTTATACTCAACTTAATTTACCCTGATCCGAATGTGTGTGTGCGGGCTTTTGGCCCCCACTCATCTATCGTGAGTTAATTCCCAAAGACGTATTAGCCCGGCGAAATTTATCCAACTCAATTAATCTCGGCGTTCTGTTCTGTGACTTTACAGAATTGATAGCCTCGTGCGAGGAGGCGTGGCAGGGACGCCCCTTTTGTGATTTATACTCGATTTTGCTACGTGTTTGCTTTGGTTTCGTTTTTTTCCATTATCTCTTTGAGTTCCCTACTTGAAATATAGTCCATTTCATATGATAATTATAGCTTTACATTCAATTAAACATTTTTAAAAACAATTTTGTCACTCAAACCGTAAACTTAAGAATCTTAATATTATTCACAGTTTCAGAATTTGTATAGCAACACAAATAATTAAATTAATTGTGTGCTTTTTAATTTAAGTTTATTTTCAATTACTATTCAAGCACTTTAAATGCTCAACGAAATTATACTTATTTTTCAAAATAATGTAACAAAGTCACACCCTTTTAATTAAACTTTATGTAATAATCCCTGAATACTTTTAAAGCCCAAGCATAAGCCAGTTATTAATTTAAATAAAAGCTTTCTTTTTTTTTTTTCTTTTATGGTTAATTATTTTTGCAGTTGCAAATGCTGCACGATAAAGTTTACTTTTAGTTGCACTGATTCCAGAAATACGTATGCATTTAATTTATTTGAATAGAGAGGAAAGCGATAGAAAAAACTTTGTTTGCTCTATCGGCTGCGGCTTATTGTGCCAGTCGTTTTGGTCTGTCTATATGTCTTTCTGTCTGCGGTCTGCAGTTTTAACTTGTTGAATTGACAACAAACAGCGAGGAAAAACCAGCAGTCACCCAAAGAACACAGAAAAGTTGCCACCCCCGCAGAGAGTAGTATTTATGCTGCAAGTTTTAATTCCGCCAAGCTCGAAAAGCCATCTATGCCATTGTCAACGTGAGCAGTTGTGTAGTGTGTGCCATATGTGTGTGCATTGTTTTTTTTTTTTTTTGGTTTTCATATGGAGGCATTAAATTGAAATGGAAAAACTAACTATATTCGGAGCCCATCTTCTTTTTGTTCCCGGCATTGGCGACACGACCCTTAAGCGATTGTACAGCCAAATTGGGCAGACAGCCGCGCTTTTGTAGATCATCCAACTTGACGGTGATCACAGTATCGATTTCCTTTTGTCGCTGAGCCTCAGCAGCCCGTTCCCTTTCGATGGCCAAGTGTTCGTCCTCCAGTTCCCGTCGACGAGCCTTCTCACGCTCCTCAATTTGACAGGATACGCCAGTGCGAAGACAGGCTTTCTTGAAGGCCTGCTCATCGGCCTCTCGCTTCAGTTGCTCCTCCTGCTTCTGCCGATACAGGATCATCTCCTTGAGTTCCCGCTCACGTTGCACGTAATAGCACGCCTTCATTTGGCTGAGATGCTCCATTTGTTCCATATTCGCACGCTTAAGATCAGCGGCCATTTTTCTCTCCTTTTCGGCGGCTTTTCTTTCGTTTTCCCTGTACTTTCTTTCGAGACGTTCGTGCTCGGCCAGGAAATGCATCTCCTCGCGATTGTCCTTGGCATCCATGATCTTTTGACCCACTGCAAAGAGCACATCCCGTTTGCGCTTCACATCCGCTTCCAAGGCTTCGCGTTCGGCTCGTTGCTGTCTCAATTGTTTTTCCTTCAGCTTCAGATATTCATATGCCCTGTTTTCATCTCGTTGATCCTGTTCACACATCATGCGCACGAAATTGCGATGCAATTTGGTGTATTTATTCAGCTCATCTCTGTAGGCCAACTTGCGGCGAGATCGGGACTCACCCTCGGCCACCTCCGCCTTTTTGTACTCATCCACAGCGGCACGTAAGTCTCGAGCTTCCATTCGCAGGCGATCTTGGGCCATGTATCTCAGCTTTTCGCGATCGCTGATTTGTTCGCGAACAGCATTGCCAAATTGCCGGCGTCGCTCTTCTTCGGCTTGATCGTGTTGCTCCACGGTGCCCCATTTGGCATTGTTGTAGTCCCGATTCTTGCGCGCCATCTCCTCATCGTGGTCGAGTTGGATGCGATTCAGGAGCTTTCTTTCCTGAATCTGAGCCGTCCACATGGCACTGCATTTGGCCTCGGAAATTGCACGAGTGGCGTCTTTCACCCGTGCATCTGACTCATATTTGGCATCCAGGGCGCGATGAAGGACCTACAATTGGGGATGTACAGGAAAGTCAGTATACGATTTTGAATTCAATATTTTAAGTTATATCTCTGTGACAAATCTTTTAGTTTTGATATACCTTAGAAACCATAGTTTATCGAAGTTTAGGAATAAATAACTAATCAGAATGTTGATATTGGTATAACTCCTTTAACTCCTTTATGCAATGAGATACATCATGTGATTAATCGACATTGGTTTCTTATAAATATTTCAAAAATGTGAAGCCAAATTTAATCGGAAGTATCTATTATCTATTAGAAAACGTTTATCATACTAAATGATATTGATTCAATTTCAAGTTCAATATTACTTTCGGCTGTACATTCCTACCTGCAATCTCTTGGCCTCGACCCTTCGGTCCTCATTCACATCCTCGTCGGCCTCGTCGGCGTTCTTCTTCTCCGTTTCCCGTTCCCTCTCCCTGCGCTGCTCATCGATGTCATGGAAATAGTTACGCATACGTTCCGCCTCGGCGGTATGGTATTGCTGCTCCTCCATTCGGCGGTCCTGGTCCGCACGCCGCTCCTCGGTGGTCCTCGGTCTCGATGCCCGCATGCGTTCCAATTCGCCCTGCGAGAGTTCCGCATAGCCCTTGGACTCCCAGGATTGTCCCTTGATGTGAAAGAAGGTGGCCTTGGCCCCGTCGTATTTGCGAGCTCGAGGTGGCGCCTTGCCACCACCCACCGCCGGTCGCTTGGCATTGGGTCCTGCGATGACCGCAGGATTCGGTGGTCGTGTGCCCGGCGGCAGTGGACGCCTCTGCTCCTTGGGCTTCACGGGCTTGTCCCTGCGCACCCCACACTTTTTCTCCTCCTCGATGGTTGATAATGGCGGTGTTTCCAAGTAAATCGGCTTCTTTAGTCGATCATAGCAGTCCGCATGTAGTTTCATAGCGGCCCGCGAACGACATGGCATCACCATTGGCATCTTGGCGAAATATATACAGTATACAGTATGTGAATTGATTGATAAGTGGAAAAGAATTGCAATAGCAAATTTTTTCCCTGAGCAGGAATTGTACGTTTCCGAGAGTTCTGTTGTCGTCGTCTGTTTGTGTTGCTCGAAGGCTGTTGTTTTGTTTGTTTGCCTGTTTCGTTTGCTTATCCAATCGAATCTGACAGGTTATATAGACAAACGCCCACCAGCTTGCTGGGAATAACTAAATTACAGGGTATGCTGTGGGAATTGAAGGAGGCTTAAATATAATCGAACTTTGATTTAGGTTAGATTAATTAATTTTATACACCACTATACCCTTTTATAAACCCTTATGTAAAACGGACATCTAAAAGTATTTCTTTTAGTCCTATTACATTTCACCAAAAATATTATTTGATGAATATGCAATTGGTAAATATGGCGACATTTAAATAGACCAAAAAAAATGAGTGCCACGTATCTTAAAGCAGCTATATTCAAGTACGCTGTTTCTACCTGTTAACACCTGACCACTTGAGTGTCGTTTGTCGAGTGGCAGGTGAGAAGGAAAAAATAGCGGAAAGAGGTGGAAAATTGACGGGTGGTAGAAAAAAAGGTGTGGAAATATGGAAAAAATAGGGAAGAAAAGGGAAGCTGCTGCTGCATTTACTTCCGCCTGCTTTGGCTGCATTCAAAGGCGTTGATGCTTGCATTTTGGAATAGCCCCGACAATTTGCATTCTTTGTATGCCACTCCCATATTCCGCCATACTCCCTCCCCCCTCCCCCAGAGTTCTTCGCCCCTTTTCCCTTAAATCCAACCCACAGGCAGGTGGCATGAAAATTTAATTACACGCCTCGCTGAAACGCTGTGGCTGAATCCGGGGTCTGTGTAATTTTTGTTTTTTATTTCTTCGGGTGGTAGCCTCACCGTCGCCTGTAGATTAGGCTGGCGAAAAAAGGATAATGGGGAAAATGGTTGAACATTTTTTAAGCAGGGTTATTATACCATTGCCTCTTGAGAAATGCTTCAAAAAATACTTTACTTTTCTCGCTCTAAAAATAGGGTCTCTAGCTTATGAAATCATAGTTTTGCGCTGTAAGAAATGAACTCATCAAATATTTGACTTATAGTTATATATTCTACGTTGAACTTTTGCGATAGATGGTATAAGTTAACAATGATTTGATTCTTGCCTAAAAAGTAGGCGTTTCTGTATTCTTAAATAACTACCTATTAACAATTTTGTTTCTTTAAAATGCTATTTTAGGTAAAAATGATTTCAAGCTCTTTCCATTTGAGTATAAGGTAACAAGTAGCAAAGGAATTTCGAGAGTTCTTTCGTTCGATTCATATCTAATCCTGACCATCTCATGTTCAAGAGTCATCTGTCGAAAGTTGAGGCGGAATCCGAAACCATTGACTCAATGTCCAGCCTCTAGTGGCCACGCATTGTTTGTCTTGTCGATTTGTGCGTCGGTTGTCAGGCGCACAAAGACATATTCGATGGCGGTGTGATGGCCGTGGGCCAAATGGATGGTTCTCTATGGACAACCGCTGACCAAATCGCCCATGGCACCCTCTTTCCGAAATATTCCGCCACAATATACGAGTGTACCGGCCACAGAATATCATTTACTTTACTCCAGACATCATCATGATGTTCGTTCCCCTCCTTTGACGACTTTGCCAATGAACTGAGCAAGAAATTTTGCCATAAATATGAATTATATTCTGGTGCGCAGCTAAAAATCATATTACATATATGTGCCCAGCCATCGCCGACGCCCCCAAAAAACTTTCTCCGCATTTCAATGGCAATAAAAGTGATTTAATAAGGCGCAAAACAACAACACAACAAAAGGGGCAAAAAATAGGCAGAGGGAAGCCAAAGGAAAAACGAAATCAATTTGATTTGTCGCCGCCGACGATGGTGGGCGGATTGCCCAGGATCTGCCACGCCCATTGCGTGTGATTAAGTGCGCGTTTAATGTGCACGCCATGGCCATAAAACAAATTGTATGCAATCCTGCCACCGAAAGCTTCGCAATTTACTCACCCACAATTCCAGAGCCGAGTTTTCCCCATCCAGCTACCCTTGGCTTATCCCACTTTACTCGCAATCCTCTATTTGAGAGTTCCGTAACTGATTTCGAACCGTAGTCGTCGCTACTCGGTCGTCGGTCGTCGGGAAGGCTAAAAACTTTTGCCGCTCGCCCTGTTTGAGCGCTTTGAAATGTAAATACAGCTCATTATTTCCAATGCCTTGCCATTCATTTGCAAAGTTTCCAGTTTGCTATGGCCCACACACACACACACACACGCACACACACACATGTCTATGAAAATCTAAAATCTAGTGGACCTCACATACGCCAAGTCACCATGGGATAATTTCCGGTTCAGTAGAATTCAGACTTTGGGCATTAAATTTAGAAAACCACTAAAAAATTTTCTTGAAGTATGACTAATTTTAATCGTGATGGTATCAAATCATTTATAAGAAATTCAATAATCATTTTGACTATTATTATTTTATTGTTAAGGTTCTTGTCAGTAAATTTATTAATTAAGCTTTAATAAAATAGTAAATAAAAAACAAATTTTTACACTCATCGATCATTTTGATTATTGCTATACAATTCAAAATATATCGGTAATTAGATTTATACAAATCTCTAAACTGATATATTTCTTTTATATATTTTCCTTATTTTTGTTACATGCTTAAATCCCCCATAATTTTCTGTTAAATTAAATCGAATTTCCTGTGTTTGCACGGGGTCTGTGACTATAGGCTCGCCTTTAATTAACTGTAATGCCATCAGGCAGCAGGAAATCCGTTGGTCAACGTGTGTGTAATGCCCCTTTGCTTTACCTTTACCTTTTCCATTACCCATTCACCATTCACCTCCCAACAAACAGAATGTGTGCGTAGAGTTTATTATTTTCACTTAATTTTTGCTGGAGTTTTTTCCTCTGTCGTTGTTGTCTCGGTGTTTTTTGTTTACCCCTGGAACCTTTGGCCCCGACCATTCAATTTACGTGCCTCTCGGACCGTTCGTCCCCAAATGGCAAATCATCACAGCTAGACAGAAAAGTTGGAGAAAAAAGAGAAGAGTTGCTGACACCCTTCGAAGAAGACGAGAGCCAAGAAACGGAATGTGGAATCTTGTTTGTATAACCAGAGCTGCGGCAAAATACTGTTCAAATTGACTTGGGGGTTCGGATGACTCGGCAGGTGGATCGTAATGTCCTTTCTGGGGAGTAGTAAAAGGACGAAAACGGAGAGAAAACCGAACCGATGGGCTTCCTGCCAAAATGGGACGAAGTCAGCGACAAAAGGAATGTTTCGCCTGCTGCACAATGGCAAATAATTCATAACTTGGCTCAAAAGTTTGATTTAGCTGCATTTAATACACTGGGCTTCCCATTTCTCTTTCGCCGTTTTCTTTTCCCTTGCCCATCCTAAAGTTCCTCTGCTGTTAACGGCAAAACACATATATTTTTGCCTCTCTCATCCTGTTGGCCATACGTCGGTTTGCATAAATTTTACTCGGAACGTAGGACTCCTGTTGACAGCAAGGATTCCCCTGCCTTTACTGCTCCTCCAGCTGCAGATAAATTACGCTCCAAGCGCCAGGACCAATGGAAGCGGAAGGGCCAACGGATGACGGCTGGCAAAGCCAAAGCCAAAGCCGTAGGAAAAGCTACAGCAAAAGCCAGAGGAACCAAGAGCACCAGGAACTGTCTGACTGTCAAGCTGCTGTATGCTTATTTTTCTTCAACTGTAACTGTTGCCAGGACTTAGAAAAATAAAATACGAGAAAGACACACACATACGAGGCACTTGATCAGGCGGCAAAAGTTTCCACTCGGTTTTGCTGACTTCAAAATTATTTGGGGTATTTTTCAAACCTCTGTTAATTTTATATCAAAGAAGAATTTCAAAGTTATGTCAAGTTTTGGTCAGTTTTTAGAATGTTGGTTTTGTTTGAAATCGTAGTTAAATATTTTAAATACTATAAGTGTTAGGTAGCTTATTTTAAAATAAGCAAATAAATACAAATTTGTTTTTAACTTGCATTTAAGGTTAATATAAAAAACAAAACGTGGAGCTCTAAAATGTTAACTTATACGTTATATAATAACAGAAGGACTGTGTGTTGAGAATATTCTGGACACATACTTGCTTAAGTCAAGTATTTAATGGTTCCCTAATTGAATATTTAACCTATGGCCAAATAAAAATGGATATCATAAATCTAGAATTTTATTGCTAACTATTTTTTAAGTCGGCAAATGTCCCGAACATTTTTGTGGAATGCCTGCAAAATGTCAGAGGAGCAAATACTCCTGTAGGATCCCCTGTCAGCTTTTTGACTACATCTGTGTGCCCCTCTTCCCTCTCTTTCACACCCGCTCCTCCACCATTTCATGCCGTCCCTGTCTTGCCATTTGTGGCGTCTGTTGCTGTTTTCTCAATGCCTTCAAAATGGCATACGGATGTTGAGGCGTCTGCTATAAATTTTTAACAACCATTTAACTTGAATTTTATTAGTCCCCAGTCAGCGGTCAAATGTTCGTTGTGGGGGGGGGGGGGATTTGGCAGTTGGGGGCGTGCCTGATGCTCTCAGTCGCCGTCATGTTGCCTTCTTGGAATTTGCTCGTATATTCCGTATACAAAGTGCCCAAATGCTGCCCACAATGTCATCACAATGACATTTTGCATTTCGCAGTTCATTTCTACTCATCGTACCATTCTCTTCACTGCTTTCTGGTGTTTTTCGTTGCCTACTTTCTGCTGGTTATTGATAGTCCTCGTACCCCAGATGTTTACTCTATCTCTCTCCTTTTCCCTGTCTTGGCCATAAATTATATTCGGAGTGTACTGACTTGTGGGTCACTTGTTTTGCTGCAACTTCAGTTGTTCGCCTGCCGTTGACCGATAACCATGTACTCTCCTTCTATTTTTTTTTTTTTTAATAAAAGTTTGTTATTATTTACTTGCTGGCAAATTGTAATGCAAAGTTTTTTTGTGATTGGTTTGTTTGTTTTCGGTTTTTGTGGGTTCTTTTTTTTCAACAAATCTAAAAGAAAATCGAAAAATCGGAATTACTTGCAGTTGAGTAAAATGTGCGCTGACAGACTAAGAAAAACAATAACCACAACCAAAACCAAACAATTTGAGTGCAACTAAACAGGAAAACATAACAAAACCACGAGGAATCGAGAAAAACAAAATTACAAAAAAGAAAAGGAGAAACAAAATCAACGATTAATCCGATAACCGATAACAGATAACCGACGTTCCGATAACTCCCGCCATGGACTCGCTGGAGCGCCTGATGCGAGCGGCGCCTTTGCCCCGAATGTTAACCAGTGGTGTTGTGGCCACAGCCGCCGCAGCCGCTGCCGCAGCCGCCGCCGCTGGCAAGGGCATTGTCAGTGTGGGCGGTGGTGCTGTGGGCGGTGGTGCAACAGCCGCCGGCGGTGGACAACAGAGGGCGCTGGTCCATGCCTCGCTGGCGGCGGCTACTGTGGGTCGCAAAGGACGCCATCTAACGGGAACATTCTGCTTAACAGGCGACACCATGGAGGGCATCATACAGTGTTTGGTATTTCTCAAAGCATTCTCGGTAAGTGGAGAGGGTGATGGTGTACCAAAAAAAGAAAAAAAAAATGTATTCCACATTGTAGAGATCAAGGGAGAGAGACCCAAATACCCAAAGACCCATATACACCCAGACCCACACCCACTTTCATCCCCATGGCACAATTCAATTTAGTTTTCGGTTTGCGCTCGACTAAGTTTTTCTTTTTGCCTCACTTTTTTTTTGTTGTGCGGGGCAACTGCCATCAAAATGTGCAATAGGCTGTAAATAGGCAAATACATTTCGCAGAGCCCTGCCTGTGGCAAGCTGATTTTGGGATTTTATAACTAAATTTTTGGAAGGCATGCGGGGAGAACCTTTGACCTAGTTTATGGGCCCTTTTTAAACCAACAACCATAAAGCCACTCCCTCCCACCCAAAAAAAAAGAAAACACACACACATACATATGTGGGCATGTGTAATAAAGATTTTCAGCTTGTCTACACAAATTTTTGACCCACTCACTAACGCTTTTCCCCTCTCTGTTTTCCTTTACTTGCAGGTGAGTCCAAG